GTTGGAGGATTAGACAAACAAATTAAGGAAATCAAGGAAGTAATCGAGTTACCTGTGAAGCATCCTGAGTTGTTTGAAAGCCTAGGGATTGCTCAACCAAAAGTAAGGATGATAATTATTTTTTGGGAAAAAAAAAATTAGTATCATAACTCAATCTTTAATCACTTCGATTATATAAAGGGTGTCTTGCTTTATGGTCCTCCCGGCACTGGAAAGACTCTTTTGGCACGTGCTGTAGCTCATCATACGGATTGTAAGTTCATTCGTGTTTCCGGTTCAGAATTGGTACAAAAATATATTGGTGAAGGTAGTAGAATGGTCAGAGAATTGTTTGTGATGGCGAGGTACGTGTGTCTATTATTAATCCTTCATTAATTATACATTAATCGCGCATTCAACATAAGATCCCTTAAAATTATTACGCGTTTTTTAAATAGAGAACATGCTCCATCCATCATTTTTATGGATGAGATCGATTCGATTGGTTCTTCACGTATAGAATCTGGCTCAGGTGGTGGTGACTCAGAAGTACAAAGGACAATGTTAGAATTATTAAACCAATTGGATGGATTTGAACCTACAAAAAATATTAAGGTGCCACATTTTAACATATATGTGATATCGCCTTTTTTGTGATATATTAATTTGTTATTATAGGTAATCATGGCAACAAATCGTATTGATATACTTGATCCTGCACTACTGCGGCCTGGTCGCATTGACAGGAAGATTGAATTCCCCCCGCCATCTGAGGCTGTATGTATTTATATTTATTTTTTAATTTTTCAAAAATGTATTATCCATACCATTTATAGTTTTTGTTCATAATTTATTTGAATAGGCCCGTGCTGATATTCTAAAGATTCATTCACGTAAAATGAATTTAACTCGTGGCATCAATTTACGCAAGATTGCAGAAAAAATGACTGGATCTAGTGGAGCAGAAGTCAAGGTAATCGGTCTTTGTATTGGAACATTCTATCCTTTTTATCAATTTAACGTCTCTTTATGATGATTTAGGCTGTTTGTACTGAAGCTGGTATGTATGCACTTCGAGAACGTCGCGTACATGTAACCCAGGAAGATTTTGAAATGGCCGTTGCTAAGGTTATGAAGAAAGGTGAAGAACAAAATGAAAGTTTACGTAAACTTTGGAAATAGAGGCACCTTTACGTCAAGAAAATCCATTTATAATTACAAAATATCTTCTTGTTTTGAATCAATAACATGGAACATGTTCTAATTATTGTTATACTTATTTGTCAAATGAGTTAATATACCTCAATTTTATATGTAAATTTATAAGAAAAATTTGATTTAATTAAAAAATTATGGTTAGACGATTTAAATATAGATGTTTTAAATCTAGTATTTTTCTAAATGCAGCCTCAAATTCTTGGTTAATATACATTTTATCTTTATTAATGATATATATTAGGACCCTGCATTGGGTCCTGCTGCCTGGCCCGTTTTGCGGGACAGGTTTAAAATTGATATTTCCACACCCTTTTTTTGACAACGCTATACAGGATTTCTTTCTGGGAATACTTTGAATCCTTCTTAACTTGCTTTGTCTTCAATAATATTTGGTATTCTCTGCATTTGACAAAGTGGTATATTTTTTGCTTTGTCTTTGCATATTATGCATATATCTATTTTATATACTTCAGGTCTTTTCGCATTTAGTTTTGTCAAGGTTGGTAATAGTTCACCTAGGTATTTTATTTGAAACATTTATCTTTTGTTTTTTTTTTCTTCTTATACTGTACATTCTTTTTATTTATTTTTATCTATCTACCTTCAAGTTTTCTTTTAGTTCAGTTTCTTCTTTCATTTTATTTAACTATCTGTTATTTCTATTTAGGTTTGCTTATTCTGCATTCAATATTTATATTCACAACTTCTCTCATTAGACTGTCTATTGTAATATCTTTTTATCTTGCTAATATTTGGAATATTTATGTTTAAAACTATTTTACTATCTTCTGCTTATTTGTTTTTTTTTGTTAGCTTGTTTGCAAAATCATATTGTTTATATTTCTGTTATGTTTTTTAACCTTTTTTAATTGTTTTTTTAGATTTTTTGTTCTTCATATTTTTTCAATTTACTATAGCAAATTTGTATTTTTAAGCTTTAATATTTTCATTTTTTTTTATATTATTTTTGCAATTGAGTATTT